CTCCACCGTCTTTGCCTATTACGCGGTTCGTAAACCCGACGCGCCATTTTGCGTGACCCTTTTTCCTCGGGGACCGCCACCACGGTGACCTCTTTGCTCTCCCCCGTGACCCTACCCGCCGGTCCCGCTTCCGCTGCGGCTTTAATCAGAGTCCTCCTTCGAGTACGGAGATAAGGAACGGAAATTAAACGTTAGACATTTACAAAACTCGCACACAGCAGTGTATTTTTAGCCACGGTTCGCCCCTCTTTCTTTCTGTCTCTCCTTCTTGCGGGTGCGGGCGATTTTGTTTTATTGAAGAATTATTGACACTGAATTTTATTTACGTATGGACTTTATTTCGGATTCGCTACAAAAAGACCTAAGTAATTTCAATTATTATTTCGTTTCGCGTTTACTTTTAATTTTTATTTACCGCACTTAATTCACAACTAGTGATCCTTGCTTGAAAGATTTGTCCATCCAAATCAACAAGCTGTTGTCAGACGAGCAGACGGGCAAAACTTTAAACATAGCCGATATTATTGTGTCCCAAAGGAGCTAGAATTTTAATTTTGTATTATCTTCATATATTTGTATCCTTTCTACCGACTTTAGCGACTTATCTGTACCTGCGATCTCATGACTTATTAAACTTTTGTTTAATTAATTTGATTCGTATCCACAATTCTTCCGCAATACTAATATTTGCAATTTCATGTTACAGAAAAATTATGTAGAAAATGATTATTTCTATGTCTTTTAATATTTTCAACTGCTGATCTCTCAGCAGAAGTGTTAAATGAGGTGGAAATGAAAAGTATTAAATTGTTTGAATGTCGAGTAGCAACTAAAAGAAAACGATAGCAAATATTTCATACATACCTGCCGTGTCTTCTTCTCCGACAAAAATATGTCTGATATCGTCGATTTGGCCGGGGAGAAAAGAATAACTCATGACAATGCAGCACGCACAATTGTACATTCCATGATCGTTTTATTTCGATTACAGAACAGCGATCGGGGGGGGACTTACTTCTCTTCTTGATCCGTTTAGTGTATTTACATTACAGCTCGCCGCGCCGGTGCATCGCGAGAGATTGGTTTGGCGGCGATCTAAAAGTTCTGGTAATTATATGATCGACGAGCGTCGAAAGCCGATCATCGGGGAACGTAGCATTCAAAAGAAAAATTTGTTACGTGGTCGGTGGTGATCCCGTACAAATAATTCGTGTCGGAAGGAAACAAAGTCACACAGCCAATCGGCTTTCTCTCGCGTCGTCCTTTTCGCGTAATCTTAAGATTCCTTAATCCTCGTTTTGGTAAAACGAAGATACGAGCGTGCGACGCGACTCTCGCGTCGCGGATCTCGGCGTCGCCCGCAGTTTTGTCGCGTGTTTAACAAACGATCCTCTTAAGTATGCGTTTAATACGTGTGTATTTCATGATGGTTGCTCAAGTAATAAAAATTATAAGAATAATTTCCGTCTGATTAAACTTCGATCGTAAAAATTGCGACGAAATCAATGTCGCAAAAATATCGAATTATATAAAGTATCAAAAATTGAGATTCATAATTCGTCGAAACGAAATGCAGTCTTTTAGCGATAAAAAAATTATCGAGATTGATACTCATGCAATTAGCGCAATAACAAATTTATGACTTCATATGACAAATAAAAGTGGAACAGCGCAGCAAGCTTTGCGGAAAGGTCGATATAGTTTTTGAAAGGAGAATTCGTAAGTGTAAGTGCAAATTGTGTCGATCATTGATCGTTGTTGACGCGCAAAACTGCGTCGGGTGATCCTATAGAGCGACACTCGATTGACGATCGTTAAGAACTAACGGAGTTAATTTACTAGCTCTAAGATGCATAAACGTACATGTTAAAATCCTAGAGAGTTAATTTACGTAACGCTGAGAAATATACAAGTATTTACAGGAGCGGAACGCACGTTGGTAGCGCTGCCCGGCTGATCCCGAGTCCCTGAAGGGATGAGGGAGAACGCGGATCCTGCGCGACGTTGAGCCGGCTCGTTCACATGTAGATACGCCGCAGATCGGACGGCGACGTTATCATGTTGCATTGCGGACAGAGCTTCTTCGCGCCCTGTAACAGCGGTAAGAAAATCCTCGTTTCTCAACTCGGCTTCGGGATCAAAGTCGTCACTTGACAGAATTCGCCAAGACGACTTGGAGAACAGTTCAGGAGAACAGAGAACGATTGATAATAATCTTGAATATAGGCAGATTCCGACGTATTAATACAAATCTCGATAAATATATTTATCGACGATTAAATTGTAGTTAAGAAAATTAAATTTAGAGATCGATCAAGTAGTTATAATTATTTGAGTATTGAAAAATATAGAAATGTTTACAAAAATTCTATAATAAGCTATATTTTATAAGTTACATGTTGCGTCCAGAATTATAAGTTTAAGAAGATAATTTATAATTATTTAAATGTCTTTAATAATTAAATTCAAATTCAAACTAAATTTAATTATTAAAAAATAACCAGGCCAGTTCAAAAGCATATTGCTGTCGTCGTCAACAATTAACACTTACCAGCGTGTGCAGCCAGCATTGCTCGCAGTGTACGTGCCAGCAACAAACCGAAGTGACCGGCTTCTTGTATTGTTCCTGAAATGGAGAATTCATTCACGCTCGGAAAATAATTGGCGAACTCACTCTCGTGCCAATATCATCCACTTTTCACATGCGTGTCAATATAAAAAAATATAATATCGCGTATAAGAATTTGTAATTGTATCGCTAATTTTGTTAATCGGCGTACAACCACGTAATTGCTCTTGAAGCTTACGAAACAATAAGTCGCGTCTTGGAATCGAAAAGAGGACATCTAAATTTCTCATTATATTAATGCGGGAGAATATCACAGGTCTGCGACTTCTCGAGATGCAGTGCGGCTGCGAGATTATAGATTTAACGATCGTAAAATAGGAAGTTGGATCGACGTTCTCTCCTAGCGGTTTTTCATGAAACAAAATGATTAACGCGCTCGTTACTCGCGGCCGTTACGTAAGCGACATTCCGCTGTTTATCCTGGCTCGATAACGACCGCGAGTCGATATACACCTTTAGCGTTTTATTGCCACCGCGTTACAAGTGAGATCGCCGTCTTATCTCGCGCGGCGAGTTATATTCCGCGCGATCGCGAACCCATATAACGAAGTGCGGCTGAGTCGGAAGGACAGGTAATATCGCATCGACGATGGAAACACTGGAGCGGCGGTATTACACGCGTAATGCTCCTTCGCTACTCCGTTTAATTCGCATACGAGCGGCGCATTGGGGAATAATTTATTCGACGATCTAAATATTTCAGGCTGTCGCCGATGCAGGGAGAAACGCGGTCGAATTTTATGCGCGCGTTTTATATGTCGTCGCAATTATTTACGAGTTGCGAAAACGCGCGCTTTCAGATCGCGAACGAAGCGCGATGAAATAATATGTATAATGTAATATTACAAGGAATTAATATAAAATACGTAATAATATAAAATACGATAAAGCGCGCCGTTTTTCCGGCTTATTTTTCGCAGGTCCAATTTGATTTTTCACAATATTAAAACCAGCAAGTTATCTATAACGATGAACTAATTACAGTGACTCAATTACAATCATATGGCCATATTAGCGTTCGAAAGTTAATCGGTTCAGTTTTTACGTTCAATAATCGTTTTCAAAGAGCGAAACCTAATTTTTATTATTACGATCGTTTTATTCATTTCGCGAAGCGTATTATTTAAACGATAAATCGTTCTGTAAAATTTCAGCGAAATTTCAATTACAGGCAGTATTTTTTAGTTTCGACTTTGTTTTTTTGACTTGAAAATCTAAATTTAAAGGCCTAAATTTTTTATTTAGACTATTTCCTAGCGTTAGTGTGACATTAAATATCATTTAAAAATTTTATATTTAATTTTAAACAATTTATCTCGAAATTCGAAGAACATTAAACCCTTTGTACAATCACACGCAAATTCACTGCCGTTCAAAATTAATTGCTTTGTATTTCTTGAATCAGAGACGCGAAATCTCGCTTATAGATATTAATTCATACTTGTCAAGACTGATAAACTCACCATGCAGATGAGACACTTGAAGGGTTGCCCGCGCATCTCGGCCTCGAGCTCGCGGACGCGACCGCGAAGGGCCTCAACGACGGGCGTGTCGCCGTCCCTCCTGGGCGACCCGGAGGCACCCTCGTCGGGATCGTTCTGTTGGGCGACGGGCGTCGCAGCGCCCGGCTCCGGCTTCACCTCGACCAGGCCCTGCGCCGTCAGTCCGGAGTCGGGGGTCAGCTGTTGCGGCGTGTGCGGCGCGTTCGGCGAGATGACGGCCTCGCGAAGCGCGTCCCGTTCCTTCTGCTCTCGCGGCGTGCCGTCGACTCGCGGCGCGACCACGTCCGCCTCGGAATACTGGGCCGGACCGAACTCGGCGGCGTCGTCGCCGTCAACCACTAGGTCGACGTCCTCGTCCTCTTGATTGCCGCCCCCGCCCCTGGCACCTGCACGGTTGCTCGAGGAAGTGGCGAGGCCTGCGGCTGCGAAGCAGAGCAGTGGCGATCTCTAAGCGTGTTTCGACAGAGTGGAAGTAAAGAGAAGAAACTAGAGATACATATTACTGACGACACCGGATTACGTATTTTATTTTTCTTTTTCACCCTGGCTCAGAGATTTTTTTAATTCTTTTATAATAGACATAAATATATATATCTTAATATGATATGTAAAGAAGACAATTAAGTGTAGAATTGATTCCGCTAATTTTGCTTCGTTAATTTATAAGACGTTAACTGTCAGAGATGATAGGAATGTAGCTATGCAATATGAAATTGTGTGATTTTAAGATTCTTATTTTGCCTAGCAAAACATGTCTTAACTACTCTCGGTAAGATCAGTGTAATTTTTTTCTAAAAAAGCATTTTAAAAAAGTCTCTAAATTTGCAATTGGTGTAAAAGAAATTCAAATTCTCTTAATAGGTATCGCTCTACATCAATTTTAAACGATAAAAAATGCTTTTTTGATGTCGAAAGGAAAACTAGAAAAAATACATGATTATGGCGTACGCGATTCGTAATTATCGAGCGTGTGTTTATTTTACGTTTTCGCACAAATATATTTAACGTCCTATTGATCTGGTGTTTTTAAGTAAATATAAAACCGTGCATTATATGTGCTTAATAACCGCAAATTTAATATAAATATTTGTACAGCTCCGCGCGTATCATAATAAATGTGCGTGTAATTTAGCGTCGCAAATGAACTTACCGGAAAATCCACCGACGAGCATGGAAGTGGCGCGCACTCTTGTCTGGCCGGCCCACTCGTACTCCTCGTACTCGGGGTCGCCCTCGACGTCGACCTCCTCCTCGTCGACGTTCGCGTTCTGCCCGGCCGGGTTCCCGTTGTTCTGCTTGTTCAGGCAACGGTCGACGTGCTGATTCAATTCCTCCGACGTGCCCGACAGTCTCTCGCTGCAAACCGGACAGGACGCCTCGTCCGCTTTTCGCTTCCGATTCTTAACGCGTATTCTGGCCTGCGCATAAGAAACAGCGACGCGCGTATCCTTATTAAAATTATATAGTAATTATCGCGCTTCGTAGCTCGGTTGAAATCCCTCGATTTGCTCCTCCGAGAAATTACGGAGAGACGTCACGTGATTAATAAAGGATTAAAATCAGGAAATAAAGAATGCATTACCTGTCTATTGGCCTTGATCCTCTTGTATGTCTCCCATCTACCCTGAGGGGTGCCATCCGCCGCCGATGGGGCGTGCAGCATCGGGCCATGGGGATGATCTTGGGGATGCGTCGGCGGTAAAGCCGACCTCGAGGGCCGAGGTCTTGAAGATGCCGAGGAGACCTTGTACAATCGATCGAGCTCTTGAGCAAAATGTTGCTCCAGTTCTTGAGGTCTCACTGTCACTCCGCATACCGGGCAGCAAGATGGATCCGAGGGGAATTTCTTCTTGCCTGAAATAAAAAGAATTCACATTACGATTAGAAGTCTCATTTAATATCTCATTTAATATCAAGTCTCATTTAACATCTAATTTAATATCCAGTCTCATTTAATATCAAGATGACATCGATCTTACAGATTTCATCAAATACATGGAACAATTATGTTTTTGTATCTAAAGTAACTTGACTGTTTACTGACTTTACTAACAATTCGTAAAAGGTGCGTGATAATGTTTCTTTTTTAACGTCTCTTTAATCAATTCTCAATTTCGCTTTTTTTTTATTCGTTATAATTTAAAATGTCAAGTAATAAGTATATTCGAGGCTGTAACTGTTCCAAATTAATTGGAGCAATCAAATTTCTCTTCTTTTTCAAACGGAAGTAAGTGTCATTATAGCAACGAAATACCATTCTTATGAGTCAATGAAAAGTATTGTCTGTGAAATAATTTTCAGCAAAAAGGAAAACGGAATGAGAAGAAAGAAATGCCCTCTCTTATTTGACAATTAAACGCATTTAAAGGATGCCTTTGATGTCCTCGGAAGTGAGGATTTAGCCAGTGCACGCGCGCTCGAGGAATGAGATCGCACCGGGGGCCGCATAGCCTCTTGGAAGACGTCGGCTAACGCGATTTAAAAAGTATTCAACTCGCGTCGTAATTACTTTTCGCGACGTCGTCGAGTCGTCCTCGCCGTCGAGGCGCGCGCGTCGCATTAAGACCAGAAACGAGCCGCAAAACGAAAACCACCGTCGTAGGTCAACGCGGTCCGGCTCGTTTACTTGCAATTTATTGCCCCGTAAAACGGCGAATAAAAGAGAGACGAAGAGAGGGGGGGGAGAAGAGGGAGGAGGAAAGAAAAGGACGAAAGGCGGAAAGGACCGACAAGACCGAGGAGAGAAGGTGCAGAGGGGGAGGAGGTGGCAGGCGAAGGAAAAAGCGCGGCGCGGCGCAAACGGCCGCGTGCCCATGGTAATCCAGCGGGATACTTCTGTCTCCGAGGCCTCTCGCGCGCCAGACGCACTCCGACGGGAATGCATAATTAATTGCGAAAGCTTGTCGCCGCCTGCGCCGCGCGCACCCTCCCTCCCTCCCCCTCGCGCGGTTCGCGGTACGGATACCGCCGAGGTAAATGCATAAACTTATAGGAAAAGTTCACGGTGCCGACGTGCCGGATTCCTCCGGTTGATTTTAATTACGCGTTAATCGCTCGTACCTCAAGGTGGCTTCATAACGTTTCGCCGCGCTGCTGAAAGAATGCCGAAAGCCTTTTATACGACGGTAAATATTTATCGCGAGGCGCGCGCGTGATAGCCGCGCGGACGGACGAGAGAAAGGTGGGATTCAGGGTCGAGCGAGCGTGACGCGTCCCGATGCATCCGTCAGCGGATACCACCGAGTTTTATTCGAACGGTTTATCGCGGAAGAGCGCGGCGCGTTTTCCGGACGTCTCTCGCGGATCCGCGCGACGTCGCCGAGACGCGCTTAAATTGTCGAATCTAAATTGAAATCTAAGCGCGTTGGTCCTTTTAGGGATAACGTTACAACCGCGGCACAAATTTATCGACTGGCCATAATGCGCGGATTATTTACAGGCGATTTATAGACCGAACAGGAACGTTTGTCATGTATTGGAATTTACGCCGAGAGGCCCGAAGAAACACGCTGGAATCCCCTTTACATCGTATGACCAATGTGTCGTGCAATATTTACGATCGTTTAAAATTGTACTTGCATAACCTTGATTTGCATAACAATGTGATGATAACGGTGCGGGATAATGTAGCGACTATTCTATATTTTTTGTTTTTGAGAAATATTGTCAAATAATTGATTTATTTACAGGAAAAATGACGGTTACATTAAGATTTAAGATTTCAAATGTAAATGACCAAAAATTTAATTTTATAAATTATAAAATATCAAAATCTGCCAGGAAATTAAAAGCTACATAACTTTCTTATTCTTTACTATCAAATATTTCTTATTTAATTAATTTTTGATAGTAAATCCATCGTTATTTATTTGAATTGTAGCACTTTTCAAATTTTTGTTTAGGTCTAAAAGCCATGAAGCAGATTTTTGCTTCTGGACTGCAAGAAATATGTCTATGCGCACCTCGCATAATGGGATGCCTCGAGTTTTCTCGAACGTAAGCTACTGAGGTCACGTAATAAAATAACGCGAAGTCGACGACGCGTGAATGCATACATACACTTCGCATACACTTCAAAATTCCTGAGTAATAATCGCGGTCTGCCTTGCGAAGCACGGTAATGTCGGGTAACGGAAGTCGGCGAAATTAACGTCGCGACGACGAGATGAAGAAAGTCGATTCGAAGGAAGTAATGACACGAAATTTATCAGTTAAATTGCGGGTACTTTCTTTCAAAGATTATGCCCTTACGATTAAATCTCCTTCACTTATGTGTTAAACCATTTTAAGTGAACCAATGATTTTCAGAAAATTTTTTTGCTTAAACCGTTAACGGACTTTAAAGTGCTTACTAAATAATTATTGAAGATCTGTCTTTATAAAATAAATATACTGTCTTCGGACTTATAAATTACGTAAATAGCAAAATGTCATTTTCTGGTGATATGAGAAATTAAAATTTATCTGTCACGACCGCGACGCTTGTAAAGACACATTTTAAAGCAAAAGATTTTTAAAGAAATGCGGTGATATGGTTTATATATTTATTATACCTCGGACTACTTATTCATTTTATTTTTCGAATAGTACACAAATTGTCGTCGTTTCAAAATTAGTTATTCACACAATGAAACCTCCCTATTACACTTCCCTGTAATAATAAATCGCTCTTCGTCTGCAGCAAACGTCCATAAATAGATTGAATAGATCGACGAGCGATATCGCGAAAACCTAGTTAGGCAGGCATGTCTGCTTATACGACGATATCGATGTCAGGGCGAGTGACAAATCGAATTATCACGTTTAAAAACGTATCTTCCTTCCGGTGATAAACACGCCAGCCGAAAGCTCTCGAAAGCTTTAATCAGCGGATCGCTGTAATTTTCAATGAGTTTTTGCTTTTTAATGAGATTTCTCGATTACGCCGTCAGTTGCCTGATTAGATATTACTTTAGCAATAACTTTTTAACTAGAAATCCTACTTTCTCTCTTTCTCTTTCCCTCTGTCTTGTTTATATCTTTGCTAATTGATATATTATTTGCACGTGAAATTTTATTATATAATAAATTAATCATAATTATTTATGATTAATACAAAAATTTTATTTAAAAATCTGCAAAATAATAAATCCCTGCAAACTACATTTGAAATAATTTATTTTTGTATAATTTTTTATATATTAATCGTATATCTATCGATCATATAAAATAATATACTTTAATCCATGATTGTATCTCGCTTGTTATTGACAGTGAAGTATCGCTGATTACACTAGCAATGTGAGCAAAAATATGAATCAGGAAAAAAAAATATTACTTCCTGACACGAATTCCATCGAGCGTACGAAAATAAACGTGTTACTGAGCGTTCGCACCTGCTGCTATTTTCTGACCATAGCGTCAAATGACGTCTTTTCAAAAAATAAAGAGAAGTTGCGAAACAATTATCGTGAATAGACAAATAGAATTCGAATTCTATTTGTTTCAATCTCTCGTTAATTCTTTACGATTCTGTAATTCTGGCACACAAATAAACGACTAAAATATCAGATGTATAAAATATTAAGGAAAAAGATCGTGTGAAATAGTAGAAGTATGGTAACATAACAGAGAACAAATTGCTCTTTCAATTTTTATCGTTTAAATATAACTCGAGGGCGATTGGCTCGTTTGTTTTGACAAATTCGATGGTGCCCGTAACCATGAGGATTTGATCGCGACAAATGTTTCACGTCGACAGCGCTAAGACAGGGGTATCCCTCGCCCTCACAAATCTTGACCCTCAAGGGTCGACTTGTAAAAATAGACGGCGATGTTCTCGCGGTTTCCGGAAAGAAAAGAAGACGGCTTATTTATATGTCAAATATACCGGCATCCTTAACACAAAAAAAAATTTATTTTATTTCTTTATGTAAAGCTGCTTTGTTATTTTATTTTTTTATATAATAACAATTATACGAATTTGCGAGAAGATAAAACTTTCTCACTCACGGGAAAATAATTTGCAATTTTTAAAATAAAATCTCTTCCTTAATTAAAAAAAGCATTAAAAAGATTTATGATTTATATTCTATTACAAAAAAAGAACAAGTGCAAGAAACATTTAACAAATTCGCGTTTTATAATCATTTATCATTTCTAACACTTTGCTTTTAAAGATCTAAATTAAAAAATTAGTAACTATATGTAATATTAACTATTATTTTACAGAATATATATACATGTATTCATATCTATTTCACTTTGTGAGATTATATTATAATTATATGTATATACAATTTCCACAAATTAAAATATTATATTAATCAAAGTGTAAGAGAGAGAGAGAGAGAGAACATTTTTATTTTATAATAAATTCCTTCGACAAAAATAATGAGATAACGCACAGTTTCATTATGCGCTTCAGTATTATAATATCGATGAATGTCATCAACTACGGTCGGCGATGACTTTTAAATTCCTGCCTGCACCGCGGAATATTTACCGATTGCGACGGCGGTAAGCAGGGTAGGAAATGATATAATTTGTTTCCGGGCTGCAAATGCGCACGAAACGTTTGCAGTACAAACACGGGCGCTATTTGACGAGCACTGGATGCATTACAGTGTTTTAATATTTTACGTTTTAATAAAATGCTTTAATATTAAAGCTTATCCCCATATGCAGTATAATGGGAATTTCATTGAAAATTAGGTATTTCGTTAATTGGATGATTCCGCCGTGATTTCCTCTGGCGGACGTGGACATTATTCGATATAGTGTCTATAATTGCGTTTGTGTAATTTTCGCGTTTTGTCCGCGTAGCAGCCTCATTAAGTGTGGCACTTTCATACGGATAAATAAGGGCATGCGAC